CTGCTGACTCACCAACGTCCGGTTCCAAAAGTCGTGCATTTACCATGTAAACAGACAATGTCCCCTTCTTGTATTCCCCTTCGTTTATTTTGTGATTCAGGCGGGGAGATGCCTCTCACCCGGACGTGGGTATGTGCATTACATCAGCGGTGCCGTGGAAGGTGAAAAGGTTGTCCTTAGGGGGGTGACGTTATGCCAGTAAACCGCTTCCAAGACTGAACAATTTTTCCTGGCCGCTATGGTTTTGGCTTCTGTGGTTGCGTTCCACAATGCCATTTCCAGACGGCGCGTGGCGCACCGGAACCTCAAATGCACGCCCCAGCTGTTTACAAATTCCCTAAATTGTCTGCAAGTGAGCGTGGTGTCATTGTCAGTCCGGTCGGCGGGCCTCGGAAGACTGAACGAATGACACCAGCAGAGTCTTGCCGTCTCAGTGGCCGCCATACTGCAAAACGGGAGGACCACAGTCAATGGCGTAAGAAAAATGGCTACCATTGCAATGGGTTACGTCCATTGCTAACCTGCTCAGTTTTTTCTCACCTCAAATTTCCTTTCTTCCAATGCACTGGTGCTGGATCGATCGATTGGCAGGCTTCACAGGTTCTAACGACAGATTTTACCAGTTCCTTAGACACCGTTGGATCTACAGTCCCTAGCAAAGTACATTGTTCTTTTTTAACACCTGGGTGCCCCTCTGCTGGTGGATGTGGGTCACCTGGCGTTTGCTCAACTGGCTCGTTGCAGTGACACAACTCACTTGCACCGGTTCTCCTCCTTTCTTGTGCATCTCAACCAGCGTTGCGGCACTCTGGTGAGGCTGTCAGCGCGGTTCGACAAATTTCACCAACGTCACAGTGTATGCTCCTCCTCCAAAGCTCGCAGTGTCTAAGCGCCGCCTCATCAGCATTTCACCCGCTGCCTTCGTGTTCTGCGCGTCCTTCCTGTGTCGGGGTGTCAAATGCTGAATCGGTGACCACATGCATAACTGGTGCCTGCCACTGCAGGGGCCCCTTGATCACCGCAGGTGTGGCAAAGATTAATGTGTTTGGCATCATTGGTTGGACGCAACCAGCAAGCATTTTGACGCTTCTTAGTGACTCCCGTGGCCACGGTCATCCACCCAAATTGGCCGTTCACACACCAGTCTCCGCCGACAGGATCTGATTCCACCTCTGGCCACTGTTTCCTCCAGCATACACGTCCAAGAGGGGCATCCTTTATCTCGTCGTCCCATCCTTTGGTTAGTGTGCTTGCATAACTAACAATAAATGCAGTTGCCACCTAAGCCAACCGCACACAGGAAATGACAAGTTTCCCGCACAAGGAAAATACCTTCGGCGGGTCACCTTTTGCAATTTCTGGAACTTGACCTCCCGCTTCCATCGAAGGGGTTGCTTTCTTCCCAGACTTGCAGAGGACCTTTAGTTCCGTCTCTCAATCGCTCCGGATCTTTTGCCCGTGCAAAGTGCTGTCTTACACGCGCTGCAGAAAGCCTTCATTTTGAAGATATCGTCGACGTATGCCGACGTGGCACTCTTAATGTCCTGATCCTGGGACGTTATCATGTCGATCATGTTGGTGACAAGAGGTTACCCACATTCAGGCCAAACCCCAAACGCGTAAAGGCAAAAACGCTTGCCCTTAATGACCACTGTTTGAAACGGGCGATTTGTCAATGTGAATCTGAGGTACGCATTTCTCAAATCCAACAGCGAGCTCCTTGTCGTCGCCATTCTCGTAATTTCTGCGCACACCTCTGCGTCAGCCGTGAATGCGTCTACAAAAGCCGGATAGTGTACCGGTCGGACCTTCTGTTTGTGTTCTTGTACGACCGCCATTGAATTAATCCTTTGGGTGGGCCAAGCTCTTTCTCAGGATATGGCAGTAGCCATCCGTCTCACCGTGCTAGTTCTTCATCGTATGCATCGGACGTGGCCAGGTACTTTACTCCTGTACTTTATTGACCAACTTCTGGGTGAATGACCACTCGCCCACTTCCACAATGCAGTCCACGTTTTTGTGCTCGGGTTAAACGTCACTCTAAAGTCAGGCTTGTTGATAACAATGGCGGCACATGTGTTCAGGTTTCGAAACGAGCTTCGCCTGATTCGGTCAAAGCACTTTGATTGCATCAATCCCGGGAGAAGAAGATCGAATCCAGCAACTGCCCTTCCACGACCAGAACCTCAACAGTCACGGGCTGAATATCGACGCCCAACAATTTTACCGTATCGGCACTTCAGGGTCTTCCCGTCGGCAGTCAACCTCCCCTCTTCCTGCTTCCAGCAGCGATTCTTGCTCACCAGAGTCTTGAGCATCCCGAATCCACTAGAGCTGTGCACTCTACTCCATCTACAAATACTTGTACGGTGGGTAGCTTCCGGTTTTTACTTGTTCGGGGAGAAGGCTGGCGGACGCCTTCTCCCCTTGGGCATTCCTGGCTTCCTGAGGAAATGTGTCCGATGCCGTTGCATGTTGTCGCGACCAGACCTTGCGTTCTGTTTGACCTCTCCTGACGTCCTTGTGTACAATTCTTCGCCATATGGTTGGGTCCAGAGCACTTGCAGCAGGTAATCGTTCTGCTAACAGGTTTGGCAGGGGAACCTCAGCTTCTGAGCGCGTTGGCTCTACGGATGTGGCGGCCAATTGGCACCCTTGTCATCCGTCATAATAGCCCTTGCTCGGGTCAGAATCTGTTCTAAATTCATGTCGTCCATCCTGGAAGAAGCTTTGAGAAGCTGCCTAACATGATGTGGCAGTCCTGACACAAATGCACATGCCATCCACCGATCAGGTAGCGGTTCTCCTACTAGCCGCGCCAAACGATGCATTTCAGCCCAGTTTCCCCTGGGCGAAGACGCCGTCCCATAAATTGGTCGAACGCATTAAATTTGTCAGTCGCGTATGCAGTCATAAGGGCCCGTTTAATTTGTTCCGCGTCTGCCCTCTGCTCTCCCACTGAGTTGTCTATATACAGCGGGGCACCGCCTCGAAGTCATAAAGGCAAGATGCATCGATCTTGTCCATGGCACAAAGTTCGCAGACCAATTCCACATTTTCTATCCATTCAACAATGGGCATATCCGTTGGGGCGCCGCTGAATTCTGGAATCAAACGGACGTCAAAGACTTTGCCTTCCATTTTGAAGAATCAATATCTGAAATTGAATGAAAAACAGTAACCAGCGAGTAAATTCAAGCTCTCCCAACTGGTATTTCAAACTTGAGTCGTTCCTTCCTGAGTTCTGTCTCCAAATCACACTAACTGCCCGTTTGTCAACCGTGAACGTCCCTCGAAGAACTCGCCGACTTGGAAAAAGTAGTTGTTTTTATAGTTGTTCATGTACCCATAATCCCTTGCGTCTTCCTGTGATCCCATAATTCATCCATGTCCCATAATGCATTGCGTCCATGTCCCATAATGCATTGCATCGTTATTGGATAAAAATGCGATGCCAGTCCCCCTCATTCTTTTATGTTATCTGGCTGAGGATGGATTACGTCAGAGCGGTAAGTGCTTTTTTCTCCCTCATTTTGAGTAGCTTTACATGACACGGGCTCTTTTTGGCGGGGACAAGGCAAGTCGCGACCAGTTGTGCAGTCCCAGGTTCTGTCTCATGTCCGCCACAATTTACCTCTTCATTTTGCCAGGGAACATAGGGCCACAACAACACCTCTCCAATGGATGTGGTTCTGGGTGATCCTCTTCAGCTCAGCCCATGTCTTCACCTCTGTGTCAACACTTTTGCGTCAAGTCTGCTTTGGTAAACCCACTTTTTGCTTCCCTTGTGGATTCCAATCAAGGGCCTGCCTAGTGACACTTGAAGCAGGCTTGTGGAGTGTGTGGCCGATCTATCCCCATTTTTGTTTCTTGATGTCAGTCTCAATTGGGGTTTGTCTGGTCCTGTCTCACAGTTGGTTGTTGGAGATGACTTCCGGATGCCTGACATTGAGGATGTTCCTGAGACATCAGTTGGTAAATGTCTGAAGTTTTTTGGGTGTTGGTCTTGGTTACCCACCAGGTTTCTTAGCCATATAGTAGGACTGACGGTGTTGGTGTTGAAGATCCAGATCTTGTTGCAAAGTGAGAGGGTTGTTGATCTCCAGATTGACCGCAATGTGTTGAAAGCATAGTGAGCTTTGTTGATTTGGCACTTCATCCATCTCCCCATCTTTACTGGCAACGCTTCCCGGGTAGACAAACTTATCAACATCCTTGATGTCTTCTTGGTGTAGTCACACTGGGTTTTGTTGTCTGTTGTTTACCCTCATGACCTCAGTCTTCCTGATGTTTATTTGGAGGCCAGTCTTCTCCACTTCTTCTGCAACAACTCAGCTTCTGCGCATCTTGTTGTTTGTGGGAGAGAAAGCTTATGTTGTCTGTGAAGCCCAGATCTTCCAGCTGCTTCATGCAGCTCCATTGTAAACCATTTCTCCCGCTTGCTGTAGCCTGCTACATTATCCAGTCAAACACCAGCAGGAAGATCATCAGTGACAGCAGGCATCCCTGATGAATGCCAGTTTCCACTGAGAATGGTTCCGCCAGCTTCCCATCATGGATGACTTGACAGGTGGCATCTTCATACAGTTGTTGGATGATAGTGACAAACTTTGGCAGAAAGCCGTAGTGCTGCATCAGTCTTCAGATGACATTTTTATTGACACTGTCTAAAGTCTTCTGAAAGTCAATGAAGATGGAGTACATGGGAGTCTGTTATTCCAGGGACTGTTTGATGATGACGTTCATTGTGGCAATGGGGTCTGTGCATGATCTATCTTGCTGAAAGCTTGCTTGTTCTTCCCAAAGTGTTTTGTCCAATGCCGTCTTCAGTCTCTCTAGCATAATTTTTGTCAGTAATTTCCCTGGGATGGACAGCAGCATAATGCCTCTCCAGTTGTTGCAGGATTGACAGGTCACCATTCTTTGACAGCTTCACAAGATGGCCTCTCTTCCATTCTTCAGGTACACTTTCTTGCTCTCAGATCTTGTGTGGGTGCAGCATGTCACTTGAAGTCTGGATGTCTGCCTACAGTGCTTCAGGTGGTATACCATCAGGTCCTGCTGCTTTGCCTGACTTAAGAGACTTGATGGCCTTGGTGATCTCATTCTTGGTAACGGGGCCAGTGTTAATGTCGAATAGTTTGTTAGGTGGTGAAATATCTGGTGGAAAAGATGGTGTGTGTCTGTTAAGTGTTTCACCCATCTTGCTCTCTGTTCCTCTTACCCTAAGATGGTACTGCCATTCTGGTCTTACTGTTTTTCCCAGAGAGAGTCCTTGTGGTTTCATACAGCCTTTTCATGTTTCCTTGGCTCACTGCAGTCTCTGCTTCATGGGCCAGGTCCTCAATGAAGTTTCTCTTGTCTTTTCTCAGACTTATCTTCACTTCCGAATTTTTCTCCCAGTAGCGTGTTTGCAATTCCTGCTTCTCTTCTTGGTCTTGGGTTTGGTTGATCTGGTCTTTCTGTTCTTTTCTCTTGGTGATCAATGCCCATGTTTCTGTTGTCAACCACTCCTTGTGTTTCTTTGTCTTCCTCTCTATGATTGTTTGACATGTTGTTTTTCAGGGGTCGTGCAGGATATGCCACTGTTCTTCTATTGTTTCTTCTGGCAGCTGGGAAAGCAGGCTGAACTTGTTCCTCAGTTCCAGCTTGAATTCTTCTGCTTTCCCCCCTCACTTTCTCTCTCAGGCTATTCATGTTGAACTTGTGTGATGGTCTTTCCGCTTGGTCATTGTAGGCTCTCAACTTGGTCTTGAGGATAGCAACAATGAGGTAGTGGTCTGATGCTGCGTCTGCTCTCTGCTTCACCTTGATGCCATACAAGGTCCTTCTCCATTTATGGCTGATTGTGATGTGGTTGATCTGGTTCTTGGTCTTTCTGTCAGGTAAAATTCAGGTGGTCATGTGGATGGTCTTGTGGGGAAAGATGGTGCCCCCAGTGACCAAGGTTATTGAAGGTGCAGAACTCTGTGAAAAGTTTGCCGTTCTCATTCTGTTCTCTGATGCCATGTCTGCCTACGATCATTTCTCTGATGATGTTGTCTGCTCCTATTTTTGCATTCATGTCTTCCATAAGGATCTTCGGATCTCTTTTTGGTACTTTGTCCACGATGGCTTAGAGATGCTCATAGAAAGTCTCTTTATCTTCCATCTCTGTGGCATTTGTTAGAGCATAGCACTATAGGATGGTGACTTTCCTGCCTTTGGAGTTGAACCTTGTGTCAGGATCCATGATGATACTTGTTCCCAGGACAGCAAAGCTCGTGTTGCTTCAGGAGTCATCAGCAGCGCTATTTCATGTGTGTGGAACTGGCCTTCTTCCTGCCCAGAGTAGATGATGGTGTCTTCACTTGCTAGTCTTGTTCTCCCAGTTCCATTCCATCTTGTCTCACACAGCCCAAGGATCTTCAATTTGTACCTGGGCATTTCTCTGCAAACATGTGTTATTTTACTGGTCTCGTATAGGCTTCTGATGTTCCAGGTCCCTATCCTTGTTGCTGACTTAGTCACCAGAAGCGGTGTCGGCATACTGGCTTCCCAGGGAATTTTACCAGCACACATCATACACTCCACTTTGGAGGACTCTTCCTCAGCCATGTTTGAAGATATCGTTGTGGTTTCTGTAACAAGCCAGTTTTTAAGTTGGTAGGTTGTTAGCCTCCAGGTTGGGGGTTGTGCAAACCCCCAACCTGGAGGAACAGGGTGTGTCTTTTGTTTGGCTCCTACACCACAGACCTTGAGCTAGGTTGGACCTGCTAAGAGCCAAAGCTCCCGCCCACATAGCTCGGGGGGTCGTTGAAGCATGCAAGCTCTCCTACCATGTCAGAGTGGAACACCATCAGAACAGGAAGCATAAAATAGTAAATATATTTTTGTCATGCATTTTTTAATTACTATATTCTTATCAATTACTGTTCTTTTAAAACCTAGGAGAAACAAAAGAAGTATTGATAACTGAAATAATTAAATTAAGAATTTCTTTTATTAACCAGGTTTCTCATTGTATTTATCTATTAGAATTTGCTTGAAGAAAGCAATGGAACATTTGATTTTAAATGCTGCCATTTTAATTAAGTATGATTTATGAATCAATCTTTAATCTTTTCTTGGAAGTCCAAGTGGGGTGGGGAATTTGGCCTTGTAAAAATATTCAACTCATCAACAAAGAAAAGGAAAGGAAAAGAAGAAAGCAGATAAACTTTAAATCCTAAATCCTTATATTCCAGAAATTGTTGCTGTGTTTTATACAAAAACTATTTATTTTTTAGTTCAGTTTCTTCTTATGAAGACTGTTTTCATATAACAGGAATATTTTTAATGTTTCCACTTACTACTTCAACTTGTACTGCTACACCAACTAATACTTAGAGTATCACATTGACTGACTATTTGATACATTGTTTTTTTTTATTTATATTTGCTGTACAGATGTAGCTGGCACAAGAAAAAGTGCAAATATTTAACAAAAATGCTTTGTTCAGTTTGAATGTACATTACTTGAAGAGCATAAAATTTCTAATAGCAACTAAATATGCTTAAAAGCTAAAATTTTGCAGATTAATAATTTGATATGTTTTAGATGCTGTCTAATTTTTATCTTTCTCCACTAATTATAAGCTAATTAACTTTTATTTTAAGTTGGTATCTACTCAGGAGTGTCATAATTTTTATTTTGTCTGAAATTGATTAATTAATAGAATAAGTACTAATAATGTGTTTGCTATAATTTAAATGCGGCTAATTTGTTTTAGCAAATCTTAATTAAAGAGATTTTTTAAATTTTTCTTCATGGCACTACACTTTACTTTTTTTTAATTTTTCTTATAGGGTATTCAAAAAAAAAAAAAACAAAACAAAAAAAAAACAAATCTCAGTCTAAAATTTTTAATTTCATAACTGGCCAGCATCTGTGTTCACAGGAAGTTCAACACGAAGAATCCACCCATTATTCGTAATAAATATCCAGCATATGGTTGGAACTGCTAGGAAAGAATACATGAAGAACATACGATTTGGTTCACACAGTTGTAATTTCCCATTTCCTTCTTTTTAAAAATTGTACAGTACCCTTTCTTTAACTTTAGTTGTTTCACACGCACACACACACACACACAAATGCAGACAACCAATTTTAAAATATGGTTTTGTCAGTTTATATGTCAACTTTTGTGCATAATGATTTTAAAACATCAACAGCTGGTGTAGATCAAATGTTATCCAATCAGAAAAATATAACATTTATTTTTAACACTTACACTTCAAAATATATCTTGAACTGATTTTAATTGCTTTCTCATAAAAATATAGAAACCATATTATTTCAAATTGAGAAAATATGTCCATTTTTATTTGGTTGTATAGAGAAAGCTGCTAGTTATTCAAATAGTTTCATATACTTTGAAATTAACTGAAGTTTCATACAAGAGTGAAGGGTTAAAAATTAAAATAATAATCTTTAATACGGAAAAAGAAGAGAGGAAGATAGAGGCTGTTTTAATTTCTTAAAATTTATCTTTTTATTTGAGGTTGATGATGAAGTGAATACAATTTTAAAAAATCAAGCACATCAAATATTAAATAGTATTTTCATAGTAAAGTATTTATTATCAGTAGAAGGAAATTAAACTTGATTATAAATTTTATTTAAGAAAAAACTGTTATATATTTGCAAATTTCTAAAAAAAAAACAATTGACATTTACTCAATTTTTTATTGCTTTTAAAATGTAGTCAGATGTATTACGCTATTCATGTAATTTTGGAAAAATGATCACTATTATTGCCTAATTTCTTTTAGTATTTTTATTTCATACAGCTCTTGAGAATATTCAAGAAATCTTATTAGCGAGGGACACAGGTTCGAATCCTGTTGGAGAGTGCATATTTTTCTTTAATAAGATTTCACTGAACATTTAGGCCAGTAGACAAAAATAAATAAACACACTTTTTAATAAATAAACAGAGCTTCTATTCAAATATAGGTATCGACTAAAACAACATTTAATTAATGAGATATATATGATAAAAATATAGTTTTAAGGTATGGTATATTTATAGGTTAAAGTGGAATAGAGCATATGTAAATATAAAAATGTGAATATTGAGGTCAACAGTTTGTTTCATGCTTAAATAAAATCTTCAGGCCATTTATATATATATGTGTGTGTGTGTGTGTGTGTGTGTAATGAACTCTGGTGTTGATTTTGACATATGATAGCACAACAGTTTAATTTACAGCAGAAATTGCTAAACTACCCACACAGATGATTTGATCATATTGGTGAAAAGCAGCCATAGTTTTGTCAGAAAAACCAATAACAGACAAATGGTGAACAGTGTCTCATGAAATCTCTGAACACGTTTTATTGCTCCTCGTGTTTTATTGTCACAGATTTTAACCTGTCCAGAATAATATCAAAAGGACACTGCATGTACTTTGTCATGACCCTCCTGGAGAGACATGGTTTGAATTCCATGTTTTCTTTCTTCAAGACTGGCTGCAACTCAGTCTACACTGCTGTTTAACCCATAGCAGGAGGAATTCATACCTTTTCCAAGGGTTTACTGTGAATTGAAGGAAACAGAATCAACTGGAATTTGAACTCAGCTCACCAATTACACTTTCTACACTAATAACTAGCAACATACACACACACACACATCTATCTACTATCTATCTATATCTATATCTATATATATGTATATATATGTATATATATCTATATATATGTATATATATATATATATATATATATATATATATATATATGTATATATATATATATATATATATATATATATATGTATATATATATATATATATATATATATATATATATATATATATATATATATATGTATATATATATATATATATATATATATATATATGTATATATATATATATATATATATATATATATATATATATATATATATATATGTATATATATATATATATATATATATATATATATATATATATATATGTATATATATATATATATATATGTATATATATATATATATATGTATATATATATATATATATATATATATATATATATATATATATATATATATATATATATATATATATATGTCCTAAAAAGGATATATTTGATCAAGTAGCTAATGGGTTTGGCTACTGTAACCAAGCAGTATGGTAGCAGTAATTGTGGTACTCAATAGTTGCAGGTAATAGGTGTAGACCAATAGGATAAACAATGGCGTAGTCCAATGGGCGTCATTATAGACTTAAACTCTGTCATACCTACATGTCCGTCTGTATTTATGACGGACACCAGCCAATCATAATCCAGTGAGGGGGAACTCAGGTGTATCTATATTTTATTATATCAATATAAAACAAGGACTTGTACCCACAGAAAAAAAAAATAGATTTGAACAAAATAAACATCATTTTTTTATACCTTTAGGTATAAATTTTTTTTTCTTTTTCTACCAAAAGGTATAAAAAAAATGATGCTTATTTTGTTCAAATATATATATATATATATATATATATATTTGAACAAAATAAGCATCATCATGTATGTTTTTTATAATATGTAGATTTAATAGACCAATTTAATGAAATTCAGGGAATAAAAAACAACAAAATGATAAAAATATTGTCAATCAAACTGATATTATTTATTTTATATTAATAAGCCTTTTAACTAAACTGAAGCTTGAAGAGA